ACATGAAATGAGACTCATTTTAAGAAAAGCGCAGGCTAAATGAAGGCAAAAATGGTAACTTTATTTTCCCATGCTAGCGATGGACCTATTCGGAGAAAACTAGATAGATACCAGCGGAGAGTAAGGAGTCATATTAGTGTTAAAGTCTAGTTTCAAGTAGGACACATAAGCATGTGAGCAGGCTGAATTGCAAAGAAAATATGAAAGTTCTAAACAAAAAACGATGCTTACCATTTTGTTGTACATATGAAACGGATTTTATGTCTTTAAAGATATGAGATAATCAAATAAGATGTAAAAAAAGAACAGATCGATTGTAGATTGAGATTAATGGATGAGGCGAGGCAGATAGGCGGATAACCAGATAGATAGATAGATAGATAGATGAACGAATGGAGATGCAAATAAGAAATAGGGAATAGTCAAGTGGATAAGTGATTAGATGCCTTGCTAGGCGAATGCATGAACAGATGTAAAAATTAATATTCAAAGTTCCTCATATAAGCGAAGGGATAAAGTTAAATTTAAAATTAAATTTTAATTGAAAAAAGAGATAAGGAATAAGGGAAAATGGAAACCATATTATCGGCCCCCTACCCAGCACTTCGAATCTCAAAAGTAAATTGCAGTTACTGTGGCTGTGTCTGCTGCATCTGCTGCTGATAGTGATGTTGTTGGTGCAAATGCGCTTGGTGAAGCTTCTGATGCTGGTGTTGATGGGAAAGCAGATGCTGGTGCTGATGTGAGTCAGCAGGATGAATATGCACCCCAGCCATTTGGCTCTGTGAAGAAAGATAGTGTGGCACACTAGGAGCAGACATCAAAGCATAGCCTGCAGACAAGACGACTTGAGTTTGCTGGCCCTGTGATGATGGCAGTCCTGAAGATGGTGCAGGGGCTGTGGCTGGGACTGCATGGGTGGTCCCTAGAGAGTGGCTTTGAGCCGAAATATGTGGCGCTGACACCAGTGGGATGGGCGGCGAGCTAGCGGCTCCTGTCGGTGAAAATCCAGTGTGTTGAGAGCCAGGTCTGAATGGTTGGTGTGGCTGATGGTGATGGCTGTTGACTTGATGACTCGAGGAAATTGGATCAAGTATATGACCACCGACTGGATGGCAGGAAAGTGTTGCTGCAGATTGAGGTGCAAGGGCAGTAAGCTGGTTCGAATGCAGGTGTAGAGTTTGACGTTGGTGCAAGGATGGGATGGGTGGTTGAAGAGGTTGTGACTGCATCTGAAGGGCGTGCTGTGGAAGTTGTTGCTGTTGGTAGAAGGCAGTTTCAGACGTGATCATAGGCGGTGTGTATCCAGCCGCAGAACTGGTTGCAGTGGCCGAAGATTGACCAGAGGCCAGATACACGCCACCAATTGATGGGCCAGGTACGGGCGCTCCAAGAGTTCGAGAAACAACTGATTGTAACGCCCCAGCCATGTAGCCACCAGGCCCAACAATTAACCCGGGCTGCGGTGTTGCTGACTGGCGGACTGCTGCATTAGCTGAGACAACAGCAGCAGTTATCGATGACGGTTGTTGCTGAGACTGCTGACCTGGCTGATGAGAGTGATGATGACTGTGAATCGGTGTTGAGTACTGCAGCATCATACCACCAATGCCGGGTTGGTGGGAGGCAGCAGAGACAGGTTGAAGAACGGAAGGCAGAGGGGCTGGCGGTAGTACTGGGTGGCTAAGATGTCCAAGAGACACTCCCGATGAGGTGAGAGGATGCCCCGGAGGAGCAGAGCAAGTCGGTTGAGCAGGTAGCATGCCTAAACCAATATTTTGGGAGTAAGAAATATGGCCACTACTAGTGCCGCCGCAAGGTAGCTGTTGCAGAGGAGTTGGCTGAATCTGAGAAAGTAGCTGATGTTGGTGGGACTGAGGAACCTGACTAGGAGAGGCAGACTGAATTGCCTCAGCTCGGGCACTCGCGACTCGACGTCGCCCTGAAGCATTATTGAAACAAATAAGGACAAGTCGTATTAAAAATAGAGTATGGGTGATGAGAAATAAGCGAAGTGAGGTTGTTGACTAGATCATTATAGAACTTGAAAAACAATGAAGCTGAAAAGCCAGGCTAAGTAATTTGGCCTTATGAGAGTTTTAAAAAATGCAATCGGGGCTAGCAACTCCAGGACGCGAAACTAAAATAGGGTTAAATTAGTATGACCTCGTTGGAACGACAGAGACAACAGCTTCTGCAACAGTAGTCGTAAACAATCCCAGAGCAGTGACATATCCCTAAATTTTTCCCCTCCGATATTTATTATTGTTACACCACGTACATAGCAATGGCTCAACAGTCTTGGATACAGAGACCACTTAAGAGTATGACTAACCCTCACTCGTTATTTCGCGTCGACCAACCAAAGCTTGGCACCGTATCGTCCAATCAAAATGTGACATGGAAATCTAGGCGAGGATATTTTAAGTGGCTAACATGCTGCCTAAATTAGTCAACTTTTTTTGATTCTATTCCTCCCCTCCACTGTTACCCGAGGAGTACATGCTTGCTAGTTTGCTACGCATTAAATGAGTGTCTTTCTATTGTCAGTCCTCATGCTGTATTTCAGCCGTTTATAATTAGGACATTTGGTAATACGATTTTTCTTTTTTTTTATCTCCGTCCCGGGGAATCTAACTTTATGTCACATTATAGAATGCAACAGTTTTATATTTTAGAGACAGCATCAGATAATTGACTTACTACATTCCTACAAGTTTAGATGGTATCTTTAAGAGGGTCACCATACTTATCTCAGCGACAAGTGTAATCAGTGCTCCGGACCAATTTTCTGTTCGAGGATTGTGGTATATGTCCTACACTCCTTTTGCCCGATGCTCAGTATGACGAAATAGATAGAATATATTTCATATAACTGATTTAATTGTAGTCTTGAAAAGATACTTACAAAGAAAACTAACTGATATTGTCGATTGTTATAGCAAGTATAACTTTGCTTCATCGACAATCCCACCAAAGAATGTGATTTGGGAATATGCTTGCCCTGTAACCCAAAGACACTCATAGCAATGTGGCGTAGTGGACAACGAGCCGAGATTACACACTGCATTGTCATAGTTCAGGCTCCGCTAGGGGTGTTGATAAGACCTAGGCGGAGTCGAAGCTGAAGTTCAGTCTGGATAAAAAAACCTTTATAGAGACTAATGCTATGTGAAATTCAATAGTCAGCTCTACTCATATCATATCGGTCCATCGTCACCTTAAATAAAATACGGCAAATACATCTCATATAATGTACTAAGTCCATCGTTCAACGTCGGAAATTATCATGACTATTATGGCAGAGGAGACAGGGATTAGGCACGCTCCACAAGGTCCCTCTGTGGAATCGGGAAGGAGTGTGTCCATCAAGGCCTCTGACGGCCCGACCATGTTGCTAAATCGAGGTAAAATCGATCAAAACAATGAACTCTTATAGTCAAAAAGCAGGTAAATGACCTGTATACCCTAGAAATGATAAAAGACCCTAATAATTTTAATTCCTTACCAGATAATCCTCGAGTCACACTGTCAGCCACTCCTTCAGATGCATATTGATTATATGACCGAGAGCTTGGACCGCCACTATGCTGGTGTTGTTGTTGAAGAGGAGGCAAGCCAATATCAGAACAATTGTTTGTGGAAATCAAGGGGGCTATTACATGATGACCTTGGCTTGTGCTAATCGGAACTTGGCTTGATCCTTGAGTCGCTATGGCAACTGTCGGTGATTGTTGAGGAGGGTGCTGATTATGCTGTTGTGATTGTTGTTGGTGTTGTGATTGAATCGCTGAGGCTGAGACGGCAGCCACAGCCGCAGCAGCAGCCACCGCAGGTGATCCCGTGAATTTGAGCAGATTCCAGTCAAAAACGCAATCATATATGAAACCCTCGCGATTAAAGAGACTGCGAAATGTGTGTCGCAAATAAGCGTAATCAGGCCGGTCATCGAAATTAAGGCTGCGACAAAAATTCAGGTACTCAGCAAACTCACCTGTCATCAAAATATAGGATAAATATGATAAATAGATAAATGATTGCAAAGAAGAAATAGGAGTTTTT